TTCCGAGTTTATGCATTCCTGAGTTTTCTTCGATATAATATCCCAGCACTTCGCTTCCAACTTTTGTTCATCAAATTGTATTGCTTGCTCCAACACCAGGAAGACATTATTAGGCTTAATGCTTCCCTCTAGAACCTTGCAACATTTCTTTGTCAAAGACGACATGAGATACTTCTTAGCCAAATACATAACTCCAATCGCGTTCTCTGCGGTTATTTTACAATCATCAGTGTAGAGATAGCACAGAAATTCTTTGAAGCTTTCTTCGTCGGCATCTGGTAGGCAAATGGGAGATTCTTTCTGAGCTAGATCGCCATAAAACATGGCAAAAAACACAGCACTGCTCGTGGCAAGCACATATTTATGCGCATGAAATATGCGACTTGATTCCCCACAAGTGAAAGATACATCGCTCATCAATTCGTTATCAAACATATACGCGTTTCTTTGTAAGACTGTTTTCTTACTAGACTGCCAATCATCGTGATATTTTGAAGCCATGTTTTGAAATAATAATCTGATAGAGCTGGTTTAAAGTTTAAAACACACTGCAGTAAAACAGACGTTTGCAGCAAGGCAACGTACAGCTGTTTATATGTAAAATGCGGAAGTAATATAGACACCAAAGTTGACATGAAACTAAAGAGGCCCTTGATATAAGGTTATTTGAATAATTACTGATGCGTTCGGAGAACCGAAATGCTTGTCAATTGGAGAGTACAATACTTCAGAACTGTGCCATTTATATCATGCAATTAAAATAAAAATGCAACTTTCAATTCTATTTATTTTCCACGAAATCTATAATACATTGATGGAAGGAAAGTAGTTAATATCATCTTCTCTCTTAACTAGGATGTATAACGTAGCTTGATTCGTCTGGCAAACTTACTGGCGGTTGACCACCACCATAGGCTTAGTATTTAGTAAACTCCGATCAGGCCTCTGACAATCATTTTTACCACTTAGACTAACATTGTCAGTTTCAATGACTGGTGGTAGTTTGTAAAGTGTACTTTGAAATTGCGCTGCAGTAATCTAAAACGGGAAACTCCTCTAACGGCGAAATTCGCCGTTTGTCGGCCTTAAATGAAAACCCCTGGGCTGGTTGGCCCATAAAACTCTTAACTACTTTTTAATCGCTATTTTGTAGTTAAATAGTAGTTAACTGTGAAATATGCGATTTTGATTGGTTAACTTTCGCACTAACTGTAGTTAACTTTAACCACCTTTTTATAACTCCCCCCACCCACCCACCCACCCCTGGAAATATTGTTGGTGTAGTCCAGTCTTAAATCAAGTATAAAACTGAGACTCAGTCCTAAGGGGGACCTTGTTATCTGGCATACCTAGTATATATACCCCCAAAGAATGGAATAGAACAGAGATAACTGAGGATTGAAATCGTCTGCCTGAGTGAAAACCTCTTATGCAGTATGCTTAATGTTTGTTTGTTTTATGCCATAATGCTTCCGTAAACTAGAGCAATGGCAACCAGGCATGTGATTTATTCAAATTTTTTTTAGATATAGAAAGCTTATTATAAAGGTTGACAAATTTTTTGATATGAACAAAGTTTTCGTCAGATTTAGTTTGAACGTCATTTATTGTATCATTATTATTTAAATGGATACAGTGTAAATACAGTGTATCTGCAAAACTACAAAGAACTATATAGTAAACTGAACTGATTTCATTATTTACACTATAATCTGGCAGCATCTCTGTAAGTTTTTCCTAAAATGTCTTGTCGGTCAAGATAAAAAGGAAATGTCTATTGACCATTGTCACTAGGTATTTAGACATGAAGTTAGCGTCCGAGGCAGGCTAAAGCCCAAGTCCAATTATCTCTATCTCTAGATTTTAGAAAGGAATATTTTGTAAAATTGACCGCAACTTTTATTTGTACCATTTGATATCAAACCATGAGAACGATAAGGTGCGTTTTCAAAAATCACAACAGTGTCATCGTTTTTTACTGATGATTTTCCATTTTCACCGCGGTGAGATTGTGGTCCAGTTATTGTCGCAATTATTGTGAACTGTTCATCTGGCTGTAGAGAAATTGGTTTGGGCAACATGACGTCATATCCCCATACACCTTCTTTGTCCTTTTCTGAAGTGTAGGTCCCTGTTACATTTTCATATTTAAGCGTAAACTTGACTTCGTATTGACTACCATGAGCGTCACCAAACAAGCGAACACCGTGAAACAAAACAGCTTTATTGACAGTCAGAGAAAGAGCATCGTAACGTCCCTTATAATTCCAATTGCCGCCTAATGAATTGGCAATGTAAAATCTGCTAAAACTGACTATATGAGGTCGCGTTTTCTTTTGCTCCTTCCATTTCAAGCCAGCCACATCTAATCCGCTAAATTTCTGGAAAATAGAAACAAGCTCTGCCTCTGTAAGTATTTCAGTGGAAGAGACATGTTTCGCGAAATCTTCCTGTGACATTTCAAGGAAACGAATTTCATACACATTATCCCCTAGAACGCGTCTTCTTGCCGTTTTGTCTTCTTCAATATTTATACCCTGTCTTGAACATTCGCCGTCTACCCATTTTAACACTGCTTTGAACAATTCCACTTCAGCTATTTCCAATGGCCTTCTCTTTAACAAAGCCTTCAGGCTATGTGATCCGACATTACAGAATGCTTCCGAGTTTATGCATTCCTGGGCTTTCTTCGATACAATATCCCAACACTTTGCTTCCAACTTTTGTTCATCAAATTGTATTGCTTGCTCCAACACCACGAAAACATTATCAGGCTTAGTGCTTGCCTCTAGAACCTTGCAACATTTCTCTGTCAAAGACATCATAAGGTACTTCTTTGCCAAATACATAACTCCAATCGCGTTCCCTGCGGTGATTTTACAATCGTCAGTGTAGAGGTAGCGCAGAAATTCTTTGAAGCTTTCTTCGTCTGCGTCTGGTAGACAAATGGGAGATTCTTTCTGAGCTAGATCGCCATAAAACATGGCAAAAAACACAGCACTGCTCGTGGCAAGCACATATTTATGCGCATGAAATATGCGACTTGATTCCCCACAAGTGAAAGATACATCGCTCATCAATTCGTTATCAAACATATACGCATTTCTTTGTAAGACTGTTTTCTTACTAGACTGCCAATCATCGTGATATTTTGAAGCCATGATTTGGAATGGTAAGAGCTAAATGAAGGTTTAAAATACATCCAGTAAAACAGACGTTTTATACAACAAGGCGACGTGTGTTTACATGTAAAATGCGGAAGTGATACAAACACCAAAGTTAAAATGAAACTAAAGAGGCCACTGAACCTTGATAAGGTCATTTGACAAATTACTCATGCGTTCAGAGAATTGAAATCTTGTCGCCAATTGGAGAGTACAGTACTAGTAAGCAATTGGTTCACTTCAGAACTGTCGCATTTGTGTAAAGCAATTAAAATAAAACTGCAAGTTTCATTTCTATTTATTTGCCACGAAATCTATAGTACATTGATGGAAAGAAAATAGTTAACACCATCTTCTCTCTTCTAAACGGACACACCGGTCCAGACACACCGGACGCGATTCGACAACGCGACTCGATTTTTTTTCGATTTAGTCAGTGACCGATAACTTTGATTCTATAGTTTAAACTTTCCAAATATTTAGAAGCGGCATAACATTTTGAGTTATTTGGTCTTCGTATCTTTCAAAATTTGCTCTCATTGGCTGTTTTATTAACTTTCAAAAACTAAAAAATCGCGTCGCGTTTTCGAATCGCGTCCGGTGTGTCTGGACATTTAGTATTTAGTGAAATCTGAAATCTAATAATTAGGGGCGGAACATAGCTCTGACCGTCATTTTTACCATTTGGACTAGCGTTGTCAATTTCAATGACTTGTGGTAGTTTATAAAGTGTACTGTGAAATTGCGCTGCATTTTTACATGAAACGCGATTGAAAATGATGGATGTGGCTGAGCATATCCGACCGAGGTCGATGTTGTCTGAGGCGGATGCCATTTACCGAGATTTGAATATTCTTGATATATTGGTTCGGTCACAGGGGATTGATGATCTATAGATACGAGATATATTTTGGTATGCATGTTCTAATTTTTCCAGTCTCAGCTAGATGTTACAGTTCAACTGCAATTTATCCCAATGCAGAACACGTCATTTGGATGCGCAGCACCAATTTGACCATGATTTGGGTATTTAGTTAAACATGGCTATATTTCATTAAATATCCAGTTAAACAATTGTAAATCCCATCTGTAAGTATGTTATATTAGCGTAATATGGTCATATTAGAGTCTTTTGTTGTGGATTTACAATTTTACAATAATATATGTTTATTAAGTGCACGCGAGTCCGCCGGTCCGCGTCCGCATTTTATCCACACCCTTGTTTAATAAACTGAGTTGTGTTTACGGGTCAAAAGCTTTGCTAACTAAACAAACTTGGTGTTTGCTACAAAAAATCAATAAAGGTAGTGTGCATCTCAAAATGTATCTAATAATATCAGTTATAACTTTATACTTTTTGGGGGAATATTTTTTATTTTATTTTACTAAGAATTCGTATTGATGATCAGATGATAAGATGAGTTTCATAACGTTACGCACTTACGCCTTATCTGACAAACCCTAACCTGTATAGATTGCGTTATTGTATAATTTTTCTGCATAGTTCGTATTCGGTTTACCGGAACTGAGATGGATGGTGCATCAGACGGACAATGCATTTTGGTAGATGATGATCTGTCTCTGATGTATCAGGTATAAATCATCTCATAACAATAAGTACCAGTCATTTAGATCAAGTTAATCTTCGAGGCAGGCTAAAATCAAATCAAATTCTCTTTTTACAGTGCGGAAAGGAAAATTTTGTAAAATTGACCAATATGTGCATGCATGGGTACGTAGTATTTGTACTTAAATTACGTGCGTCATTAAAAGTCACGACAATGTCATCGACTTTCGCTGATGGTCTTCCCTTCTGACCTCTGTGAGATGGTGGTCCTCTTATTGTCAGAAAATGCAGAGCTATAGAACAGACGTTTTGTACAACAAGGCGACGTGGCAAATTTTTTTTCCGTAGACAGTCGGACTCCTTATTGATAGTCGGACGCATCATTGATCCGCGTCCAGGCCTCCGCGCGTTATCAATGAATCCCTTCGTAACCCACTGGTGCACCATATATCCATCACTCCACATTGTTCTTTTTCGACCACGTGTAGAAAGATGAACGATTTACTTCGAAGTTCTTCGCGATGCCATAATAAATCTACAAACTTTGTTTTTCTGGTTCCGAAAATACTCAAGAACGGTTATTGCGAGTTAAAACTATATATCATCCCTTTTGAAGAGAATCAGGATAAGATAACTAGCGTGCGAGGAAATAGTGGAAGATTCAAAGCGACAATCAATACCACTTTTCACAAATAGAAGTATTGCAGAATACCCTGTGTACGGAATACATATCGATCTCGATCATGTAGCCCGGCCACTATTTCACTGGATACGTATATACCAGATCTTATTGCCTTGTTCTAATATACAAGTTGAAACTAATTACTAAGACAATATTACGAATTGATACTATAAAGGAAATATCATGGAAGACTTTTAATGTTTAATATTATGCTTAGTATGTTTTATAATATAAAATATTTTCTCCCAGCGACGCCGTAATTAATCATAATCTGTCAAACACCAATGTGCGGTTGTGAGGAACATATTTGCATATTACACCACATTTAAGCTCTCTATAGCATGAGAATTTAATCTATTACTGCCAACTAATTACTGCCACGCATTCGCGTATCCACTAACATATAGAGCTACCTATAGCGTGAGAATTTGATCTAATGCTTTAAATCTAACTGTATGCCTCGTTCTCAAAATAACTACTTGACTGCGTATCTGCGTATCCACTAGAATAGAGAGCTACATTTAACACTATGATAATTTAATCTATTAATGCTAAGTCACTATATGCCTCTCGTAGCTACCTTTACCGGGCCACCATCTAATTATTAATCTATTGAGAATAAATGTAGATGTATTAATACATCGTATCCATGATTTTTGAAAGGCATAGCTTAAAAAGTGGATTGGTATTCTGCAATGCCAATCGCTCCTGTCGGATGTCATCACCACACAAGGTATGAAGCCACAATGTGTCATGCTCAGATTTTGACATCTCAACCAAGCAATACTGATTTTGAAATCACCAATTGCGAGCGACGAGTATCCGCTGAATATTTTGTTTAAGGGCGCGGGCCAATGATGCGTCCGACTATCAATGAGGAGTCCGACTGTCTACAGAAAAAACATTTGCGGCGACGTGTGTTTGCATGTAAAATGCGGAAGTGATATAAACATCAAAGTTAAAATGAAACTAAAGAGGCCACTGAACCTTGATAAGGTCATTTGGATAATTACTGATGCGTTTAGCGAGTGAAACGCTTGTCGCCGATTGGAGAGTACATTACTAGTAAGCAATTGGTCCACTTCAGAACTGTTGCATTTGTAACTGCAACTTTCAATTATATTTATTTGCCATGAAATTTACAGTACATTGATAGAAGGAAAATAGTTAACATCGTCTTCTCTCTTGGGGTCCATAACGTAGCCTGATTCGTCATAGGCTTAGTATTTAGTAAAACCTGAAGTCTAAATTTTGCCATTTAGACTAACTTTGTCAATTTCAATAACTGGTGGTAGTTTATAAAGTGTACTGTGAAATGGCGCTGCTTTTCAAAATGAAACGCGATTGAAAAGATGGATGCGGCTGAACATATCAGACCAAGGTCGATGTTGTCTGAGGCGGATGCCATTGACCGAGATAATTTTGTATATTCGTGATCGTGATATATTGGTTCGGTCACAGGGGATTGTTGATCCATAGAAACGAGGATGAACAATGGGATACTTTGATATGCATATATTTAATGCTTCCAGTCTCAGCTATATGTTATACTGAGTTCAACTGCAATTTAGCCCTGCGCAGAACGCGTCATTTGGATGCGCAGTCCAGATATTTTGTTGCGTCACTTGTGCAAACCCCAGAAGGAATAAAAATATACTAACACACACCACCATTCACCAATTTGACCATGGTTTGGGTATTTAATTAAACATGGCTATGTTTCATTAAATATACAAGAGTCCGCGTCCCCATTTTATCCACACCCTTGTATTCGGGCTTACGAATCAAAAGCTTTGCCAACGGCTAAATAGACGCGGTGTTTGCTACAAAAATCAATAAACGCGTATAGTATACCAAAAATGTATTTAATAATACCAATTATAACTTTATACTTTTTATGAATATTATTATTTTATTTTATTTTACTAAGAATTCGTATTGATGATAAGATGAGTTTCATAACGCTACGCACTTATGCCTAACCTGACAAAGCCTATAGCCTGGATAGTTTGCGTTATTGTAGTTAATTTTTCTACATAGTTCGTATTGACTATTGGGTTAACCAGAACTGAGACGGATGATCCATCAGACGGACAATGCATCTTGGTATCTGTCTCTGGTGTAAAACATCTCATAACAATAAGCACCAGTCACTTAGATCAAGTTAATCTTCCAGGCAAGTTGAGATCAAGTCATATCAGTTTCTACTTACAGTGCAGAAAGGAAAGTTTTGTAAAACTGACCCCAATCTTTCCTTGTATCGTTTCTACTTAAGCCAGTAGGTGCGCTTTTAAAAGTCACAACAATGTCATTGGCATTCACTGATGATTTTCCATTGCTACCTCTGTGAGATGTTGGACCTTTTATTGTCGCAGTTATTGTGAACTTTTCATATGGCTGTATCGGAACCGGTTTGAGCAACATGACATCATATCCCCACACACCATCATTGTCTTGTTCTGAAGTGTAGGTCCCTGTTACATTTTCATCTTTTACCGTAAACTTGACTTCGTATTGGCTACCATTAGTGTCACCAAACAAACGAACACCGTGAAAGCGAACAGCTTTACTGACAGTCAGAGAAAGAGCATCGGGTTTACGTCCGTCGTAACCCCACCTACCAGCTAATGCATTGACAACGTCAAATCTGCTGAAAGCGACTATACGAGGCCCCCTTTTCTTTTGCTCCTTCCATTTCAAGTCAGCCACATCTAATCCGCTAAATGTCTGGAAAATAGAGATAACCTCTATCTCCGTTAGTATTCCAGTGTGAGAGACATATTTCCCGAAATCCTCCAGCGACATTTCCAGGAAACGAATTTCGTATACACTATCCCCTAGGATGCGTCTTCTTGCCGTTTTGTCTTCTTCAATATTTATACCCTGTCTTGAACATTCGCCGTCTACCCATTTTAACACTGCTTTGAACAATTCCACTTCGGTTACTGACAACGTCTCGCTCTTTAACAAACCCTTCAGGGTATGAGATCCGACATTACAGAATATTTCCGAGTTTATACATTCCTGAGTTTTCTTCGACACAATATCCCAGCACTTTACTTCCAACTTTTGTTCATCAAATTGTATTGCTTGCTCCAGCACCAGGAAAGCATTATCAGGCTTAATGCTTCCCTCAAGAACCTTGCAACATTTCTCTGTCAAAGACGACATGAGATACTTCTTAGCCAAATACAAAACTCCAATCGCGTTCACTGCGGTTATTTTACAATCATCAGTGTAGAGGTAGCACAGAAATTCTTTGAAGCTTTCTTCGTCTGCGTCTGGAAGGCAAATGGGATATTCTTTCTGAGCTAGACCGCCATAAAACATGGCAAAAAACACAGAACTGCTCGTGGCAAGCACATATTTATGCGCATGAAATATGCGACTTGATTCCCCACAAGTGAAAGATACATCGCTCATCAATTCGTTATCAAACATATACGCGTTTCTTTGTAAGACTGTTTGCTTACTAGACTGCCAATCATCGTGATATGTTGAAGCCATGTTTTGGAATGGTTGAGCTGATTGAAGGTTTAAAATACACTACAGTAAAACAGACGTTTATATCAAGATTCAAGGCGACGTGTAAACACATGTAAAATGCGGAAGTGATATAAACATGAAACTAAAGAGGTCAATAAACCTCGATGAAGGTCACGAATGACAGAAAACATTGTTTGATATTTGTTGTTCATAGCCTGAAAAACAAACCTACATTTCGCCCGCCCGCCTTAAAATATGTTGTTCACGACACGAGTGACAAAAAGCTATTCTACATGGGGTAGGGGTAAAACGCGGAAACGGAACAGACCGGCGGAACCGGAATGGCGGAACCGGAAAAGCGGAAACGGAAAAGAGGGTAAAACACGGAAAAGAGGGTAAAACGCGGAAAAGAGGGTAAAACGCGGAAAAGAGGGTAAAACGCGGAAAAGAGGGTAAAACGCGGAAAAGAGGATAAAACGCGGAAAAGGGGGTAAAACGCGGAAAAGGGGATAAAACGCGGAAAAAAGTTTTAGAATAGTTTTTTCTTTACGAAGTAGGTATGTGGCTTGGTAAAACTATATTTTTTTAAAAATTATGCACACTAGTCCCTTCAACTATGATTTCCACGAAGGGCGTGTGTTATGTCATAAAAAAGCTACATACATTTACGATATTCTGATACTATTAACAACCCTGATAACTCAAATATTAACCTCAATTAACCTACATAACTACTGGGGTG